GGGTGCAGCCAGTGATGGAGAGCAGCAGTGGGGCCAGGCACGAGCATGGGATGATGTCTGGCCATGTCCCTGGCAGGGACATCTCTCCTGCCACACGCCCTCGGGGTGACAGCGAGGGGCTTCCAGAGGAGCTCCGTTTTCAGGCTTTTCAGCCTCCTGGGCTCTTCGTGCACTAAAGCTGGAAACGGCTTTGCTTTTAATAGTGGTTTGAGTTATTTTTGGCATGAATGTTGCACTTCTCACCTGATTCCCAACGGATGCAGGGAGTGGGCAATGGGGGTTAGGGTTAGAGTTATGAAGGAGAAACATTTTGAGAGAGGACTCCCTCAAAAATCCACGTCTCCATATAGCCTGTGGCTGTGGATGGGATGAGCTGGGGCTGCAGCTTCACGTGGCAGTGGGTTTGTGCCCTTGCCCTGGGGCTCGGCTGGGCTGGAGGATTCCTCTGAATTATTTCCAGATGGGGATTAATGCAGCAAAGCGAGTTTGCTGCAGGATAGATAAACAAACCAAAGCTCCTCGGGATGCTATTAATAAACCCTCTGCCTGCTGCTTCTGTCCCAGATTTGGGAACATCCTGGCCTTGGCATGGGGGGCAACTGTGCCCTGTCTTGCTGCCCATCCAGCCCCTTGGCTGTGGGGCAGAGGGACAGGGATTCCTCCGGGACCACGGCCACTGGGGTCCTGATGGAAGTGAGTGGGGACAGTGTCCCTGCCCTGGGCTCCCCTCTGGCTGTAAGTGGGATGAGGTGCTGCCAGCCGTGTCCCTTGGTGTCCCAGTCCCCATTGAGCTGGGCCAGGGGCAGTGGCACTGGGAGGTGACACCTCTCCTCCCCAGCCTTCAGTGCCAGGGCTGTGGGTGGCTTTGGAGCAGAGAGGATGTAAACAGGGTGGAGGCAGACTTTGAGCCCTATGGAACTGGCACTGCCATGCCAGGGGGAGGGCAAACCAGTTTGGGTGGCTGCAGCCCAGCAAGGTCACCTTGGCCATGCTTCTCACTGGGGGCTCCTGTGTCACCCTCTGCGTGCACACGGACACATCCCCCCTTCTGGGAAGGAGGAAGGCGGCCCATGGGATGTAATCCCAGCCCTCCTCGTTCTGGCATGGCTGGTGATCTCCTGCAGGGCAGACAGAGCTTGGGCAGGGCTGGGCTCTGCAGGGTGGGCCATGGCTCCCAGCACAGCTCCCCACTGAGGGCCCCTGGGCATGGTGGGACAGCACGTAAGAGGGGCTAAGGCCTGCGAATGATATGATTTTGTCCCAGTTATGTATTTTCCCAGTAACTCAGCCACTTCTGGGGGTTCTGGGCCCATACACCCCTCTGTACCTGTAGAGGTAGCATGCCTGTGGGGGATGCCCCTGGGGAGGATGGAGGCTTAGAGATGGATCTGAATTTGCTGATTTCCAGCTCTCCAGCCTGCAGCACACACAGGCAGTTAATCCCCAGCCAAGCAGAGCTGGCTGCCTACCTGGCTGGAGCGGTGCCTGGTGGAGGGAGGGACGTGGGCACGGTTCCACACCTTGCGGGGCAAGAATCATTGCAAAAATATTTGCTGAAAAAAAGTGCAGCCCCACCCCGAGGAAAACCGGGTCCGGGAGCAGAGCCCCATCCAGGTTTGCAGCCGGGTGAGCAGGGGAATGAATGCGAGTGGCTGCAGGGAGCCGAGCACCGCCCGGCACCTGCAGCCAGCACCGCCGGGCTCAGCCGAGGGCGCCGGGCAGGGCCGGGGGGCTGTGAGGGCACCCCAGCAGGGCAGGGCAGGGCAGGCAGCCCTCCGTGCCGGGGGACAGCCATGGGCTGCCGGAGGGTGCCCGGCCCCGCGCTGGCCCTGCTGCTGCTCCTGTGCCCGCCGCGCCCGCCCGCCTGCCCGGCCGCCTGCCGCTGCTCCCCGGCCGAGGCGGACTGCGGCGAGCGGGGCCTCCGCCAGGTGCCCTGGAGCCTCTCGGCCAACACCAGCGCCCTGTGGCTCGGCTACAACTTCATCACCGTGCTGGGACCTCGCTCCTTCCCTCCGCTGCCGGGGCTGCGGCTGCTCAGCCTGGTGCACAACCGCCTGGAGCTGATCCACAGCCAGGCGCTGCTGGGGCTCGGGGCGCTGCGGGAGCTGGACCTCAGCCACAACCACCTCAGCGTGCTCACCCCCGACACCTTCGTGCCCCTCACCAGCCTGGCCACGCTCAACCTGGGCAGCAACAGGCTGGGGGAGCTGGAGCCCGGCGTGCCGGCTGCCTTGCCCCAGCTCCGGGCACTTTTCCTGCAGGACAACCCCTGGGTGTGCAGCTGCAGCATCCTGCCCCTCTGGCGCTGGCTCAGCCACAACAGAGAAAAAGTGCGAGGTGAGTGCCCGGAGGGCTGTGCCCCATGCCCCGTGCCCACTCCATGCTGGCCCGTCACCCTGCCAGGGCTGAGGCAGGACCCTGGCTGCCAGCTGGCTCGGGGCTTGGGTGGTGAGTGCCCTTGGGGTGCAGTTCCCCAGAACCTGTCCTTAGGTCATGCCAGCTCCTGTGCCTGCTTGGGTGGATACACCCTGGGTCTCAGTTGGTGCCCACATTTTCGTTCTGGTCATCAGCAGGGATTTCCTGGAAAGGAGAGCTCTGCAGCATCCCAGTGACAGGCACCCGGTGCTGGCCCCAGCAGTGGCACCTCAGGGGGCAAGTGGAGCCTGTGTGTCAGGGTGCACATCACCGCTGGCCTATCCAGGGTGCAGTGCTTTCAGCCCCTTCCCCAAAGCCTTCATCAACCTGGTTCTGATCCTGCATTTCTCCCCCCAAGAACCCCAGTCAAAAACAGCTCTGCCAGCAAAGTCTCTCCCACCACTGCTGCCCCCTCCTGCTTGCTTCCAGCTCGGATGTGTGACCGCACTTGTTCTGCCTGGGACCTTCTGTGGCATCTCCAGGCTGGCTGCTCACTGTTCCCCACATCTGTCTTCTGGGAGCCAGTCCCTCCCCTTTGCCTGCCCATCTGCCATCCTGCTCCACTCCCATCTTCCTATGTCCCCTCCATCACTGTGACCACATCCCATCCCATCCCATCCCATCCCATCCCATCCCATCCCATCCCATCCCACCCCACCCCACACAGGTGAGTCCTGAACCTCACTGTTCCCGTTATTCATGGCCTCGCTCGGGTGATGTTGGTGACGCTGGCCCCTGTCCTCCTGCCCTGGTGCCATCTGTCCCATGCAGACCTGCCATCCCCCTGTCCTTGGCCCCTGCCTTTCCCAGCTGCCCAGTTGTGCCCTCCAGCACTGCTTCTCTCTTCCAGAGAAGAGTTTGCTCCTCTGCAGAGTTCCAGAGCAGCTGAACAAGTATCCGATCATGGCCTTTGGGGACGAGTCCTTCAGGCAGTGCCAGGAGACCTCACTGTCCCCCCAGCACTACATCACCTTCTTCATCATCGGACCCTTCTCCTTCATCGCCAGCATCTTCTTCTGCACCTTCCTGGGCTCCCTGGTGGTGTTCTACCACAGCCTGCGCCGCGAGTCCCACTGCTGGAGGAGACCCCGCGTCTGCAGGGTGCACTGAGGGCTCGGCCAGGCCCTGCCCTGGCAGCCCGGGCTCCACCCGTGCCCCTCTCCAGCTGCCTGCACCCGCCTGTGCAAACTCTGTGGGGCAGCGAGAGGAAGCTCTGTTCCTGGCATCGCTTTGTGTTCTCTCAGAGGCCCCCAAGATGCTGCCAAGCTGCCTCTGCCAGGGGGGAGCAGCCTCCAGCTCAGCTCCCTGCAGGGTACAGGCTGACCGAAAATGCTCTCAGTGTTTTGGGAGGCTCCCCAAGGCTACCCTCAGATCTGCATATCCTCTTCCTGGGGACATCCAGGTGATCCTTCTCCCCTTGTCCTGCCCCCTGTGCTGCCCAGTCCCTCAGTGTGCATTTAGGATGCTCCATATGCCTCCGTGTGCCTTTAGGTGCAGCCTGGGAGTCCCTGTGTGCATCCCAGGACACACCACATTCCTCTTGGTGCCTTTCAGGTCACCCCAGGAGTCACTATTTGCCTTTTGGTGCAGCCCAGGAGCCTCTGCGAGCCTTTCAGTTTGCTCCTTGGGCCTCCCGGTGCCCCCTGCACCCTCTGACTGCCTTCAGTGACACCAGCAGCCTCAGTGCTTTTTTCTGTGCCCTCAGAAGTCCTTGAGTTGGCATTTCCTGTTTGGCTTCTGTGTCCTGGCAGGCATTGTTTTCCTTTTAGTGTACCAGGGCTCTCTGTGTGCCTTTTGGTGCACCTGAGGATCTCTGGGTGGTTTGGAGCATTCCAAAGCCTCTGTGGGCTGTCAGACCATCCCAGGCCTGTCAGTGTGCTGCCCAAGGACAGGGCTGGTTGCAAAAAGCTCCTTTTGATATTTTTTTCCATTGAGTCAGGAATGCTGGTGCTGAGAAGGCTCAGCCAACAACCAAGGTCTAGGGTGAGGCTGAAGTTTAGGGTGAGGGCCAGGAAGAGCCTTGAGCTGCCACTGATGTGGTTCGGCAGAGCAGCTGCCAAAGGATGGGTGAGGCTGCAGCGGTTTCTCCCTCAGTAGCTTTTCCCTAGGCTACAGCTCATCCCCAGCCAAGGTAGAGGGTTAGCTCAGGGTTGGGAGTGGGGGCAAACAAGCCCTTTAGAGGGGCTCTTTGCAGCAGCCCTGGTGCTGCCCCACCTCCCATCACCCACAAATCCGGGCTGGGGCTGCCCCTGCACCTCCCTGCCCTGCTCCCTTCTTCCCTTTCCTGTGGAAATGCTGCTGGAAATGCTTAGTGAGCCTACTGGGAGAAGGCCTGGGAGGATCTGGAGCTGTGCTCCAGGAGAAAGCCACAAGCTGGGGTGACAAAAACACTTTTCAAGGAGGAACAAGAGCCCTTTTTGGCCTGACGTCTTACCCACTGCAAGATGATCAGAGCCACAAGGAGATGTTGTGACTACCAGCCTTGTCCACTCCATCTCCTGCCCATGCAAGAGCTGGGACCTGCCAGGGCTGTCAGTAAATCTCACATAAATAAACCAAGTGTCACCTCAGCAGTGGCTTGCTCCCATTTTTATTTTTAAGAGAGAAGCCAGCCCCGTGTGTGTGTGTGCTGCCACATGGCCAAATTCCAACTTCCTCCTCTGGCGTGGGGCAGGGGGTTTGCAGGGAGTGTCTGGAGGCAGCATCTGCCCCAGTGCTGCCAGCCCTGCTCCAAGGAGGGCTGCGGGACCTCTGCCAGGATCGTCTCCTGCCTGTCCCAGGAGCAATCCCAGCTCTCCCAGACCTCTCTCTAGACAGGGTTCAGTTATTCCCAAGAAGGCCTGGGGCTTCCCATTTGGAGTTTGGACCTTGTTTGTCATCCTGCACGGCCTCCTGAACCCCGCTCCTTCCCTCAGACCATCCTGAGGCTCAGCACCCATGGAGGCTGGGCTGGAGGTCTCAGCACATGGGGAAGATGCTGTGGATGGGTGATGTTCCTTCAGTTCAGCCTTGGGGGAACTTCCTATTTTGGAGATCACTTGATGGACCTCCCCATGGATGGGCTGATGTGTGGGGGCTTCCCCAATGCCCTCATCCCTGCATCCCATCCCCTGTTCCCAAGGGCTGGTTCTGCTGGCCAGGCCCAGTGCTGGCTCCCAGGAGATGGGGAGCCCAGCGGTGGCAGGGGGCAGTTTTCCCCGGGATGGAGGTGGGACAGAGCCAGCTGCCATGGTGCTGGTGTTTGGACAGCTCCATGCTGTCCCCATCTCCTCACTGCAAGGCCTGTGACCACCCTGGCTGTGCAGGCTCTGTCACCTGACTACCCCAGAATGGGGATGTCCTTTCCCTCTCAGGCTCCCCTATAGCCCCGGGCCTTTCTCCCTCCAGGTTTCTGCATCCCTTCCTGTCCCTCCACTGTTTGCAGACCCAGCCACAGGGTTGGGTGAGGCTCTGATTCACCACAGGGCTCCCTGCCAGCTTTGCCAGAAGTCAGAGACAGAAAGAGGCACACAAGCTCTGGAATAAACCACTTCATGATCCAGTCTAGACTTTACTGAGCTCTTGCAAAAACTTGGTATTAATGTAACATCGACGTATAAAGTAGAATGGGTCCGATTTCTCAGCTGGAGCTAGATGAACTGGATGGAGCCACAGCAGTCAGTGGGACGATGCTCACAGACCTCAGCTGCCATGTGAAAATGCTGCCCGCGGGGGCAGCCCGGCCCGGGGGAGGCAGTCCGTGCCCTGGTGGGTACCAGGCCGCGGGCGGCTCCGTGTGGCAGGAGACGCTGCCCGTGCCCTGCGCTAGCTGCTCCTCCCCGGGGCCGCTCCTCCGCGCCCGCTGCCTGCTCGGAGCCGTGTGGGCTCGAGGGGAGGACGGGGCGGCGAGGGACGGCATCAGCCTGGCTCCTTCGGTTCCCTTCTCCCGAACTGGGATCTGCTTTCCACGTCTCCGGGTTCAGGCGGATGGAGCGCCGAGAGCCGCTGGCAAGCTTGGACTGCAGGTGAGGGTGGCAGGGGAGCTGCCAGCGCTGGTGCCCCGACAGTGCAGCCAGGCTGGGTGGCCGCTGCAGCACTGCAGCAAGCCGTGACCAGCCAGCAGCGTCTCTCCTTGCATTGCTGGTGCTGAGGCAGTGTGGAGCTGGGGTAGAGGTCAGTGCAACCGTCCAGAGCCATTTCCTGTGGAGAATTCCTGGCCAGGAGAGCTGCTGTGTGAGTGCTACATGCTGGCCGTGGCCAGGTCCTGGGGATGTTTTCTGTGCAGGAGAGGTGGGAGCCGGGGTCTCGGCTGGCGGCACTCCTCAGGCTCCGGAGCACGGCGATTAGCTCAGGGCACAGGGCTGCAGGGCGGGAGCTCTCCTGCTGCAGCCAGGCCACGGACAGAACCGAGTCACAGCCACGGGCCCATGGAGGGAAGGGAAGAGGCTCCATCCCCTGCAAGGAGCAGAGCACACATCTTCCAGCCCCTGCGGCAGACGCGAGGGCCACTCGGCACGGCAGGAACGTGTGCCGAGCCTGCCGCACCAGGAGCTGGCTGCTCCAGCTGCTCAGGGCCGTGGGCACATTGCTGGAGCCCTCCAGGTGGTGGGAGACATGGAGCACATGTCTGAGGGGCTGTGTGTGCTCAGAAGGCTGCAGCCTGTGAGGTGAAGCACGTGTTTGTGGTCTGGTACCAGCTCTTCTCTGCTACCATGGGAGAGCAAGCACCATGTGCCTTCTGCAGTCCTTTCCCCTTGCACGGAGCCAGTCAGTGGCAATTCTGATTATTGTGGCACTGTTTGGAAGCAATTATCTCTGTACAGTGAAGTCCAAGCCTTGTCCTGGTTCTGCCGTGCTTCCTGGGGCACGAGCATGGCAGCAGGCCTAGGAAGGGAGGGAGATATACAATGGAGTCACCGTGTATGGATGAAGGATGCTTTCCTCCCATCTCACCCAGAAGAACCCATCAGTGTCCCTTGAAAGGCAGTCCTGGCTGTGCCTTCCTACTGTGTTGGGCAAGGACTGATGGCCCTCAGGGAGAAGGTCACACCACAGTGCTGACTGAGGGGTCGGAGAGGTTGAGCTGGCCAGTGATGTCGGTGGGGTGATACTGCTGCAACACACAAATAGACAGACAAAGAGAAAAGAGTGTTAGGCAGTTCTGGCATTTGTCCTCGCTGCCACTTCTATCCCATGTGTCCCTACAGGATATCTCTTGGGGGTGAAGCAACGCCCTGAAAGCTGCTGCTGGCTGAGGTCCCCTTCCCAGTGCCCTCCACGCTTGTGCAGAGGTCATTGCAGACACTCTCCAAGAAGCCAGGAGCTGGGCAGAGGGGACACCCAGGAGCGCAGTGCAGCTTCTGCAGAGCGTGGCTGCCACGTCACCCGCTGAGCCAGGCCCTCTCTGCTCTGGGAGGGCTACAGAACAAAGCCTGTGACTCATCAGCCCAGCCCACGCCTGAACCTGTGTTTGGAGGGTCTGGCTGGGTTTTGGCACCTCTCTGGTGCCAGATCAAGCTGTGCTTTGAGGCCAGGGCGTTTCACCTCCTTGCTTGAATGACCCTGCCGTGACTATCCCTTCATGCAGGTGAGATGTGTGGTGTGGTTGGTTTGTGATAAAGTGTGGCGTTGGTTGCTAATGTGAAAATACGGCCTGTGCTGGGGATGTGGTCTGGATTTGGGGTTCTGAGCTCCTTGCAGATGCGGGGGTTTGGCATGGGAGAGGCCATGGGAGAGCCCTCCCCTGCTGCAGTCCCATCAGCAAGTAGGGGGCAGAGCAGAAATACCCATCAATGGGCAAGAAACAAATGTCCTTCCACCCCAGACAGGAATTTACAGCGGGGCAGTTATTTCCTCCCTTCCTCATTCTAAATTCCCTTCCTCTCCCATCTCCACTGTCCAAACTCCAAACCCTGACCTGGCAGCTCTGTCCAGCCCTGCTGTGGCCTGGGGAATCCTGTGCTGCTCTCTGGGGTCCTAATTCGGTTCCAGGGCAGGAAAGGGTCTCTGTGGGGTCTCTCATGTACTGCAGCATAGACCCTCTCCAGTGACATTTTCCCAGCCCCTGCACCACCCTGCCCAGGAGGGCTGATGTTTTGAGGGGCTCCATGGGGACTCCTCGGTGACGGATTTCATCTGCTCTGCTTTGGTCGATGGCCAAGTGGCCTGGTGGCACTGCCGGCAGCTCTGGCACTGTGGCTACCCTGTGTGCTGCACACCCTGCCTCCTGCCACCCCCGAGCCTCGCATGGGGTCCTTGGGGCTGCCCTGCCCAGCCCGGATTTGTGCTTCCTGGGACCCCTTGGTGGGAGCTGGGCCGAGAGCCAGCGTGCTTCCGTTTCTGCAGAACCATGCCGGGATGTGCTGACACCCAGGGAGCCTCT